GCATGACCTCATTATGACCTTCATCCTTGGTCATATGACCTGATCACCTGACTAGGCTGAGTAAGCAAGATGTTCTAGCAGGTTCCACCACAGAGGTATAAATATAAGGCCTACTCTGCCTGGGGACTGTCTCTGCAGACTTGGTCTCTTAGGATCATCCACAGGTACCTATACTGTAGATAGGTCTTAGTCATCAGGTCTACTCCACTTCCTTGTTGCCTGCTCAGACTCTTGGCACTCCTAGGTGAGCAGACTTAGTCAGCCTGTGTTGCCCTAACAGTGGCCTAACCTGTGGGTAGATGTGGTAGCCATCATGGCACAGTTGGGTTGTAGGATATTAAGCGGGGTGCTGAAGGGAGCAAAAGGAACCAAGGTCAGATCCAGTTCTCTTCATTGCAGGCTACTTAACCCTACACAGGGACACACAAAGGCACCCAGCAGCAACTGCACAGAGCTATGGCTGGTGGACAACTCAAAGGTTACTGTGCGCCTGTGCATATTTGATGAGTTCATTGGGCAGATGGATGAGTCCTTGGTGGGGAAAGCAGTTACATTCAAGACTCTGCTTACAAACAAGTTGGATGGACCTTGCTTGAAGACACAATCTCAGAAGATGCGATTTTTCATCAGCCAAGATAACTACACTCATCAACAACTCGAGGCATGGTGGGATCATCTCCTCTCACAATTGTGCAGGGTGCTTACTGAAAAACAGGTGGACTGCATCAGGTGGCCTTGTGCATGGGAACTGCTGGAGGTCCATGACAGGCAGATTTTTGGCAGCTGGGGCTCTGGACAAAGATGGGCTAGCCATACTGAGTCTTTGGGTGACAATCACAGAGGCAAAGTGTCAAAAATTGGGCTTCAACCAGCCCATTACCTTTGTCATTGTGGGAAGGCTACATCCCAGACACAATGTGTGATCTACATATCAAGGATGTCCCTATGAAATGTGCCACAAGAAATGGAACGAGTCTTTCTGGAACCAAGATGAACAAACATACATTTGTCCTGCTTGCCACAGGACATACATATCCCCCAGCGCAAAGTGGGTCTCTTCTTGTGCAACAAACCTGTGCAAGGCTGATTTGAATGACAGATTTCGATTTCATGTTGAGGTAGTTGACAGTGGCAGTCAGTACTGGGTCACATTCTTTGATACAGTGACCCACAACCTCCTCTGTGAAACGGCTAGCAACATGGACCATTGGTTTGACTTGTTGCAGGCTGGTGATGTGAGCTCAGTTCCCATGCACAGGGCACAAGTTGACATTATACAGTGGGATGTGACTCAGTGCTATTACACCACAGTTGATTTGGTCTTGCAAAATACATACAAAATCACCATCAAGGCAAGCACTGATTTTATGGACAGGCAGAAGGGAGAGGTAACTTGGGTCCCAATGCGTTATGCCCATGTATAATTCCAGACATTTACTGTGTGCAGGGGTATGACTCCTGCCTTTTTTACTTTCAATACATTTCATTTGCACATTCAATGTAACTACAACATTTATTCTGCAGGGGAAGAAGAACACAAGCTCCTGGCATTTGAGGGTGTAGAAAACTGTGGATGAGATTGGTTGGGAGTGTCGAACTGGTAATTGTATGCAGGTGAACGTGAACAAGGTGGATGTGATCCATGCGGGAATGAAAAGCCTTGTGCAGCAGCATTTGAAGGACCCAGATGGTGAGGGGAGCATGTGATGGTGAGGCAGGAAGGGGGGTACCATTTGACACCATCCTCTCCTTTCACTCAGGTTGGCAATGGCTGTGGACTGGTGCAAAATAACCTGTCTTGCTTCCATAAGTTCTGCTTCCAGAGAATCCATGCACAGGAAGGAGCTTTGGAGACAACAGTCCAGGTTCTGTGCATTGCAGATTTCCTTGTCCCTTTCATTGTGAATTGATTCCAGGTGCATGGTAACATCTGTGTAGTTATGGGAGAGAGCTCTTGTTGTTGCTTCAGCATCTTCCAACAACACTGCTTGCCCAGCAACTGTCTCCCATAGACTAAGGTTTTCCTGTGCATGGCAAGGAATGATGGGTGGACAAGGGGGAGGGCTGATTTGCTCAGGGGAATCAGGCCATTTGGTCTCGTCTTTGCTTGATGAGGAGTAAGAATGGAAGTTTGTCACAAAACTCTGCACATCCGTGGGTTGGCAGCCTTGCACAGGGCCTATGTGTTGGCATCATGGCAAGGGGGCTTGAGGTTGTGGAAAGGAGTGTGAGACACTGTTTGGGTCATGTGCAGGTGCTGTGTGCTGGGCAAGATCAGCCATCCACATGGTTGGTAAGACACGTGCAGTCTCACTGGGGTGTCAGTGATCCACCATCCATATCCAGCTGAACCCCAGTATGCAGGGTTATGTGGATGTCAAGGTCTATTCCCAGAAGGATGCATAGTGATAGCAAGTGTTGAGAGGAAGGTGCTTGACATGCAGCACATGCTCTGCGCAGGGGACATGAATCAGGTGACTCAAACAAACCATGGGAGACCCTGCACCCAGGACAAACTGCACATAATAACATTGTGATTGATGATAACAAAATTGCCAAAAAAAGGAAAGACAGATTGCAGCAAAATGAGACTGTATCAGGCATCCCATGGCATTACACATTCACAAAGCCTCTTCTTCCTCAGACAAGCAAAGGCTGTTGATCGAGATTTTTAAAATCAACAATTGGCAGAAGACTTGTCAGGTGTGTGACAGCTCTGTTAAGATGGCTGGCATCATGGATTCAGAAACCAAGCCCATGTGCAGGGCATTGTGCAAGTGGCAGATGTCTTCATTGAGTTGCTGCAGCTGTCTTTGCAAAGTGTCAGAGATTTCATGCCCCTGTGCAGAACTGAAGACACTATGTGATGTTCAATAATGTCATTATGGTGGCAGGTGCATCTTACCTGCAGGTGGCATGTCAATGCTGCACTTTCACATGAAAGCCCCTGCACAGGGTGGTACATATATGCTGAGGGTGGCTTGCACTTGTGCAGTTCTTGTCGGCAGCAAAAGTGTTGGATGGAACAGCATTTCATTCAGAAATCATATGATACACCCTCATCCTCATCCAGTTCCAATGCCTCATGTATGAAGAAAAGAGTATGAAGTCCAAATGCAATCATGTGGGGGGTGTTTCTCCTTTGGCAGCTCCATGTCTTTATTGTCAAACTGTTTCTTGACCTGCATCTCACAGAGGATGACATTGCCCTTGCACAGGAGGGAGGCTGAGTATTGCTTTAGGTCTTTCCTAGCCTTCATGCCATTATGGGCATCATATATGGAAGTGAATTCCCTTGCCTGTGGGTCTGGTGAGCAAAATAAAAAACAAAGATGCAGACATACAGGTTTGTCCAAATTATATTGCTTCTGGAACTTGTTCATGATGATGCTACCAAAAGGATTCATTTCTGCCCCTGCACAAGGATAAGTTGAGACAGAACCTGCCCAAATGAGATTGGACCAACATTGTCTTGGCCTGGAATAGAAGTTTGTTATCTTTGTTGTGGCTCTGGTGTCATCCAGAATAAGTGGCTTGACACAGATGTATATGGAATCTGGCCAAGAACCATCATCATTCACAAACTTCTGTGCTGCAATGCAGCCCAGCACCCAGACAAAAATTGGCACATTGTCAGAGTGTACAAGGAAATTGCTGTAATCTATCAATTGGTCATAGCCAAAGTTGAGGGAGTGAGGCAATTCCGTGATGTAATAAACACCATGGGTGGGGTCTGCATATGCTTGAATGCTTGTCAGCTGGGATTGCATCACACTGTCAAACCCAGCCTTGTGCAAGGTTTCTTCACAGGTTTCCTTGGTGCAGGCAGAGCCATCTACTACATCCATGTCATTTTCATCAGTTAGGTTTTGATGATCAGGCAGCACTTCATTGGCAACATCCAAATGGTTCCTGCACAGGGTCAGTGACAGAGAGCAAATGATTCAGCACAAACCTCTTCTGCTGCTGTGCTGTTTCCACATCCACATTCAGACTGTTCAACCACCTTTTGGTAGCCATGGTGCATGTGTAATGATCATGACATACACAAGGTTATTATATTATGGTGAAGTGGCTTGCAAGGAGGGACAAGAAGGCTTGCATGTTTGTCTGCCATGCACAGGAAGTTCTGATTCAGGTGGGTTGGCTGAGATTTACAAGCCTCACAGACACCAATGATTGGTGGTGTTTTCTTGTATTGCCATGCAGTTCATCAACACAGCTGCTGCTAAGGATTATCACAGTGAGCTGGATCATGTTTGACCAGGAAACTTCTTTGCTGTCTCAGCTGCCAAGAGATTCAACCATTTGAATTCCTTGTGCAGGTCCAAGGGTGGGCCCTGGAAGAATGATGTGGAACTGAAAGGTCAAAGGACTGCCACACCATCCAAACTCCAGACCCATGACAGTATGATGAACACACTTTGTGGTGAGGTGCACCCACACAAATCCACCACTGCCCTGTGCAGGGATTGACCCTGGCTCTTGTAGTCCATGTAGGCATAAGCAGGGAGCAAGGGCAGGAATTTCCTAGAGATGGAGTGCAACACCTTTCCTGGCCTGTCTGAGCTTTTGGATTCAAAGGAATATGCCTTTGCAGTTGGTTGAACACATATAGTATTTGCAGGCAGGTGTGCCTGCACATGGTCACATGCAGGCATATTGACCATAACTGCAGTTGGACAGTGATGTCCATCAGAGTCAAATTTGTACCAAATGCCAGTTATTGTTCCAATAGCTCCATTCACAAGCAATTTTGAAATGGCAAGGTTTTCTGTAAGCATAACCCACATGCCTTCAAACATGGGCAAAAAACCTAGTGCATCGTTTGTACAATTGATTGGCAGACTCCACAAGGTGTCTTGTACTGCTGGTCAAACACAAACCTTGTCCACAAAATCCAGGAAAAAATATAAGTAGCAGGCCTTGTGCAGGGACTGAGCATGACCTCGAGTGAGAAATAGATTCAGTGAGTTGCAGATGTCTTTAGTCACTACAATGAATGGCACATTCAGGAATTGCATGCCATGTGCAAGAGAATTTGAGAAAATTGAGGAAATTAACTGAGACCACAGTACATCTTCATCAGGGATTCCGTAGTGTATGACATGTGGCTTGTGCTGATGTTCTCTGACTGTGTTCCTCCAAGGAGTTCCATTCTGTAAGCACAGAAGCAGTTCAGCCCACTGGCAGTCATTCTCTTGACAAACATTTTTCATCAAAAGAACTGCTTCATTGACTTGTCTCCAAAAGATGACTCCAGTCATCTCCTCCTGCCCCTGTGCATGGCTTATCCATGCTCCATTGATGTTATGAACCAGATTGTGACTGTACAAAGACTGCCAGCTGAGAGGCTTTAATTGAGCAAAATCACCAGTGAAGACAATGTTCATGCCCCCGAACGGCAATCCAACATCCACTTGATGACCCTGCACAATGCAGATCGATATTTCATACAGCAATTTGCTCAAAATCATTGATATCTCATCAATAACAAGCCACTGTGCATGTTGCCATACTTGCTCCAGGCAATCTTGATTGGCCCTCAAACCATGCATGGCCAGTCACTGTGTGAGGGAGTGTATAGTGTAGCCACCAATCACCACAGCCACTGTGCCTGTCAGAGTGCTGAGATGCAGCTTGTCCTGAATTAACAGCTTGTCAAATAAAGATTCCATGCTTCATATAACATGGCTTTTTCCTGTGCCAGTGCTGCCACCAATGTACAGCAGCAACTGTTCATGGGGCCCTGCACATAAGTAGTGTGCAATGACTGTCATTGCTCTCATCTGCTCATCATTGGCACTAAGGTTCTGCTCCTGAACCACCTGTGCAAGAGCATGGTGAACAGCTGATTCTGGGATTGCTTGCAACACATGGAGACAGTCAGTTGAAAGGCCTTGCGCAGGGTGAAGCAAATCAATTGTAATGGCAGGTTCGGTAACAGTGAAGGTGTGTCAGGGTTGCTGTGCACCTTGGATCTTTCCTTCTGCCCTCCATTTTGCCATCTCTGATGCCCATTGTGATAGAAGGCCCTCTTCTTCCAAAGACAGCAGACCAACATTGTCACTGTCTGCAATGTATGCCGGTTCAGATAGAGGAATGGCATGTGCAGGAAGAGCACATAAAAAGGCAGACATTGCAGGTCCAGCTTTGCCTGTGCACAAGGCATCCTCTGCATTCTGTACAGACAAGAGGATCAAGACATCCTCCTCGGGATAGCCACCTGCATCTGCATTCACTTTGGTTTCGTCCACATCCAGATCCATTGCAAGGTGTTCCATATGCTCATCAACCAGTGAGTTGCCAACAAGGTTAGCATACCAGCTTCTGTGGTGCTTGCTGCGCAGGTCATTATCTCTGGCTTCTTTTGATTGTCTAAGAACCACCATATTGGATATAATGAACCAATGTCTTTCATCAAAAGAAGTCTCTGCAAATGCCATGCACCAAGAAATGGTAGGTCATCTGATATCCTGCACAGAGCACCACGGTTTGAACAACAACAGCATTGCCCTACAATACTGATCACTATGGTGGCTGGAAGGGTCTTCTTTTGGCAACGCCAGTCTGATGATGTCAGGAACAACAGCAGCTGTGTGCAGGGAAACTCTGTGGGTACCATATTGCAGGTGACCTTTTTGAAACATGGCCCGTTGCTGTTGTTTTTGACCAGGTGAAGAAGAGCTTGAGCTGCATGAAGGCTGCAACAATGGTAGGTCTGTGTTAGGGCAACACAGGCTGACTAAGTCTGCTCACCTAAGAGTGCCAAGAGTCTAAGCAGGCAACAAGGAAGTGGAGTAGACCTGATGACTAAGACCTATCTACAGTATAGGTACCTGTGGATGATCCTAAGAGACCAAGTCTGAAGAGACAGTCCCCAGGCAGAGTAGGCCTTATATTTATACCTCTGTGGTGGAACCTGCTAGAACATCTTGCTTACTCAGCCTAGTCAGGTGATCAGGTCATATGACCAAGGATGAGGTCATATGAGGTCATGCACAGCCATGTACAGCAGGTCACCTGACCATCCAATCCTTCCAGCAGTCCAGCACA